GAGATCCATCGTTAGGAATAATGTGCTAACATTACACCCTCCTGACTTCTTACATCACCGGTGGTCCTGTCATTTGCACCTTGATGAACAAAGTGAGGCACTTATATTCGTCAAGTACCACAAACCCTTGAACGGTGCTACACGACGAAGACGAGTAAACTCGGCTTCAACAATCACAAGCAGAGAGATCCAGACTGCTGTGCGTCTGCTGCTCCCTGGTGAATTGGCGAAGCACGCGGTGTCGGAGGGCACCAAGGCTGTGACGAAGTACACTGGCTCCAAGTAATGAAGAGTTGGTTTTCTGTGTGCTACTCCACGCAAGTCCAGCATCTCATCATCGTCGTAGCAGCAAAACAGTGAACGCATACACGGTCCTTCTGAGGGCCACCAACTGAGATTGCTGCTATTGCAGTCCCTCCTTTGGAGGTCTTTGATAAGTGTAGTACGAGTGGCAGCAGTAGGACCAGTTGCTGGTGTCGCCGCTGTAGTAGAAGTTGTTAGTGGAGTTGTAGTTGTGGTGTGTGAACTAGAGGCGGATGTAGGTGTAGAGGATGAATGTTGGGTGGCTAGAAGCGGTGTGATGATGTTGAGGGTCGTGTGGCGCTGAAGGGATGTGATGGCCGCCGATGTGGCCTAAGACCAGCGGGGAGGGCAGTCGGGAGTTGAGGTGGAGCCGATGGATGGATGGATGGATGGGTGGGTGGGTGGTGGGCGGGTGAAACGTGGTGTGGTGTTTGGGATTCGCGTCCCTACGTAATTGAATTCTATCTCGCAAATACTTCTTTACGCGCTTGCAAAAGTCGTCCATGCCTCTGACTACCAGCTGCCTTCTGCTCAATTCGACTAGGATTCCATTTATCACGCCAAAAGTACTACAGACCCCTAGCAAATGCAGCCTCCAACCTTTGTCTTCCTACCTCTCTCTCCCTCTCTCTATCTGTGTGCGCGCGCGTGTGTGTAAACTTAACCAACTTGCGCTTCCCCACCTTCCCATGGCGTCGGAATTGAAATTCCGTGCAATCCTTAAAACAACACCGCTGCGATAAGATGCCGAATGAAAGGACAGGCCTCCTGTTTAGCTCGTCTGTTTGCTCTTGTGTGGGTGCTAATCCT